TTTTTTTTTTTTTTTTTTTTTGCTTTATCTCCTTCTTACTTCCTCTATAAACCCTAAACCCTAAACCCTCATAAACCCTTCTAAACCCTCATAAACCCTCATAAACCCTTCTAAACCCTCGTAAACCCTCATAAACCCTCATAAACCCTCGTAAACCCTCATAAACCCTCCTAAACCCTCATAAACCGTCATAAACCCTCGTAAACCCTCCTAAACCCTTGTAAACCCTCGTAAAGCCTTGTAAACCCTCATAAACCCTCATAAACCCTTGTGTTTGTGTGTATGAGGGTTTAGATATTATTATTTTACCGTCGTTCTTCTTGTTTACATGATAAGTTGTGGGGGTTTTGGCAAAAATTAGCGAATAAATATTTACCTATTAGGGTTTGTGCTATGGAGGCAGAGAAGGCACCATTTCTTACAGATCGTAAACCCTAAACCCTAAACCCTAAACCCTTATTATACATATTCTTAACTCTTAACCCTTTTCTTCTATAGATACAAACCCTAATATACCCAACACATCCAGGTCAGCTAGCTAGCTAACTAAATAGTTAGCTAGCTAGCTAACTAGCTAGCTAGCTAGCTAGCTAGATATGTAGGTAGCTAGCTAGCTAGCTAGTTAGCTAGATGAAGGGTTTAATGTGCTGCTGTGTGCTCCTGCAGGATTGAAGATTTGGTGTCTCCCTACGGTAAGTAGTTTAGGGTTTAGGGTTTAGGGTTTAGGGTTTAGGGTTTTATATAGGACGAAGGGTTTAGGGATTAAAGGTTTGTTCTGCTGTAAACCCTAAACCCTAAACCCTAAACCGTAAACCCTTGTGTTATAATTCAGGCTGTTCTTGTACGCGACGGACAAACAGAACATTCAATTGTTGGCCTTGATGAGATAGGAGGTAGGGTTTAGGGTTTAGGGTTTAGGGTTTAGGGTTTGTAGCACTATTCATACAAAGCAATTCTCCTGCTTAGCAGCAGCAACAACAAAACCAGCAACAGCAACAGCAACAGCAGCAGCAGCCTAGGAGTAATAATAACACACGGAGCAGCAACACCACAAGCAGCAGCAGCAACAGCAGCAGCAGCAGCAGCAGCAGCAGCAGCAGGTGTGGTGTATGTGTACAGGGGAGGACTTGAGTATGCAGATGTTAGAGAATGTACTCAGAAAATATAAACTTCTTCCTCCTGAACAATAATCTACACTGCAGCAGCAGCAGCAGCAGCAGATGCAGCAGCAGCAGATGCAGCAGCAGCAGATGCAGCAGCAGCAGCAGCTGCTGCTGCTGCTGCTGCTGCTGTTATACCGATTGTTTTTTTTTTTTGAGTTATGTTGGCTAACAATATACACACATAGCTAGCTGTATAGCTAGCCATGGCTAGCTATACAGCTAGCTATACAGCTAGCTGTATAGCTAGCTGTATAGCTAGCCATATAGGTAGCTGTATAGGTAGCTGTATAGGTAGCTGTAGCTAGCTATTGGCGATGGTTTATCTGTTTAGGCATCATTTGACTAAACCCTAAACCCTAAACCCTAAACCCTTATTTATCTTATACACGCACCGCTTAATGGTCTTATTGCAGCTTTCCCCTGCTGCTGCTTTTGCTGTTGCTGTTGCTGCTGCTCCTGCTGCTGTTGTTGCTGCTGCTGCTGCTGTTTAGACGAGGTATCTGTACAGCAGATGGATGACAGCAACAGCACTTTTGTTTCTTCCTCCTTTTTTTTTTTAGGGTTTAGGGTTTAGGGTTTAGGGTTTATCTTCTTTCTCTATCTGCCTCCTCTGTTGTTGTTATAACGCCAAACCCTAAACCCTAAACCCTAAACCCTAAACAGAGGGAGTTACGACTCCTAAACCCTAGATATTAAGATGGGTTGGTGACCGTCTGCGGTGACACCTCGACTAAACCCTAAACACTAAACCCTAAACCCTAAACCCTAGAAACTAAACCGTAAACCCTAAACCCTCGGCCAGCAAGAGGAGACACCCGCTTACAGGTCTGCTCCTTCATGCCCGTGTCCTATCCCTTTCTGCAGCAGCAGCAACAGCAGCAGAACCAGCAGCAGCAACAGTAACAGAACTAACAGCAGCACCACCAGCAGCAACAGCAGCAGCAGCAGCAGCAACAGCAGCAACATCAAGTATTTTCTTGCACATATACAGAAGCCAAAAGCAAATCAGCAGCAGCTGCTGCTGCACTGTCTATTTAAATACAGATTGCTGTTGCTGCTGCTGCAGCAGCAGCAACAAAAGCAACTGCTTTTGCTGCAACAGCAACAGCAGCAGCAGGTGCTGCTGCTGCTGCTGCAGCAAAAGCAGCAAACGGAGCATCGCAATAGGCATCGCTTATCCTGGCTGTTTAATGCGCTGCTGTTCTTCCCTCTGCACTAGCTGCTGCTGCTGCTGCTGCTGCTGTTGCTGTTGCTGTTGCTGCTGCTGCTGTTGCTGCTGCTGGTTGTGCTGCTGCTGCAGCTGCAGCAGCCGCTGCAGCTCTGCTTCCTCTGCTTCT